TTCTGGAAAATCTTTTTGAAGTTCATAATATTATAATTTCAGTGACTATTTCCTAGGAATAATGAGTTCAAATGTACAAATTAGCGGAGAAAAGAGCACCAACATTCACTTTTCCACAATGGAGTGATAGACAAAACTATCATAGTCTAGAGAATGGTGTCACGTAGTATGCATAAACCAATACGATGGGTGGATCCAGCCATCCAGACGTCATTATCAAACAAGTGATTGCTGATTAGAGCCCAGAGCTTTTAGTTCCTCAGTTCCCAAACGGCTTCTCACTGGGTGGAATCACAAGGTTGCTTCAGACACCCCAAATTCCACCTATTTCTGTTGTTTCTCATATCCTTTCCTTCTCACCTTTCCCCTCATGTGACGTCTCCCTCTAGTCTGGGACTACAGTCACCACTGAGGGAGAATTAAGCAAGCATTTCGAACTGGCAATGTTCTTAGCCCAGTATAATCCTTTCAGTTAAACCGAAACTCAACACATAGTGTTCTCTAAAAATATGTTTTAATTTTCTGTCTAGTATCGCAGAATAATTTTCTAACTTCTCTAAGGCAGCTTATGTTTCCGGTGATAGAAGGGAGTAGAAAGAGGAAAACGGACAGTTTATTCCAAATTTAAAGTCAACAATACAGCAGTTGAAGGGGTATTTGCGTCAGGTAATAGGGAGAATGATTTTCTACCACCCTCAAGAAACTACCACATATACCACACCCAACTTCTTTCACTCCTTAGAGAAGGGGAAGGGAAAGCGGAAGAGGGATGCAAAGTACGGGCTTGAGTAAAAAATGACAGAAAAGCCCGTGTCTATAATAGGTCTGTCCATATTAGGGCTCTTGGCTGAAGTCAGGCAGGAAGAGAAAGATGAAAATGCCCCTCTCTTATTTTTCAAGCTCATACAAATGGAACACAAAAACAAAAACGTGAGAGAAAGGAACCAGGCCACAGCCTCTCCCTTTATTAGCTGTCTCCCTAGAACTGTGTAGTCTCTCTGAAAAGCTGGGGGAGCCCAGATCCTTCTGTCTGTGCTTGACACTAAGCACAGAACACAATTCAACAAAGCTTCCAACTGGACGAATCACATGCTTTGACTTATTCAAGATGTATCAGAGGCTATTGAAAAGGGAGATTTACAGGTTGGTCTTGCTTTCTCTTAGTTCCTACAGATGGGCTCTACGCCCTTCCTTTCTTGTGATATATGAGACCACCGATGTCCTTTTGTGAGATAAGATGTGATGGAGATCTGTCCTGGCACCAAATAGTTATCATAAAATTCTTCAATTATTTTGACCTTTTGTGCGTCTTATCATTACAGGGATGCTGAAGGTGTAGAAATAATGCTTTCCTGGGTTACCAAGTAAGAGATATAGTACAGGGGAAAAAGCACAACCTATGGACTTACTAGTTACGTGACTTTTGGTTCATCCTTTCATAACTTCATCTATAAAAGGGAGATCATGATACCCTCCACCACACACACACACACACACACAATTTATATAGTGCTTAGAAAACTGACTTATAGTAAGAAATTGACAAATATTAGCTATTATGATCATGATGTAGGCAAGTCAGATTTTAGCTTTTAAGGGTCTTACACACATTCATGCTAGAAGTAAGAACAGCCCTCCTCCCTTTCTGGTTCAGCATCCATGTCCTCCAGTCTTTCAGCACCCCTTGCCATCTAACAACTCCTTTTCTTCCCGCTAAATCCAAATACAAGCTCCCATTTAATCTATATTCCTTAGGCTCTGCTCTCTCTCCTCTCCTCAGGGTCTGTCTCATCTCTGAGGGAAACTGCAGAAGCCCAGCCAGGGTACTGCCTGCAAAGGAGGGGAAACAGGCTCAGACTTATGTCTCTCCTACCCTCTCACACTTTTATTCCTTCTGATAACCTCCATGTCACATCCTCATTTATTTAGCCTCAAGTAAAATAGGATGAGGTACACGAGAAAGACTAGGTAGGTATGGGTAAGAAGAAGAAAGGAAGTTAAACTCAGTGGCTTGAGCTCCTGATTGTCACCTTTTTACTCAGCTTCACACACGCCCTCCCAAATGGGAGCAAAACAACTATCCACATCTAGAAGAAGTACTCACAATCATGGGTCATATGCTCTGTATACAGAGTCTACCATTTTCTGGCCTGTGATAAGGTTTCTAATTCATGAATACTATATTTGAATCTACTTGAGGGATGTGGAGGGGGTGGGTTGACACTCTTGCTCCTGTCCTATGTTAGTTAGGTTAAGCTAGGCCAGGCTGTGGTAATAAGCAACCCTCAGTACCTTAATTAAGCAAAAGTTATCTCTCATTCATACAGTGTATATTGTAGGTTTGGGTGTTTCTCTAGGGGCAGCTACCCTCCATGATGACTCAGCTAATTAGACTACTTTTATATTCTGATTCCACTATTTCAACACAAGCCTTTCTTGGTTGATTTGGTAGGGGAAGAAGAGAAAAGTCATGCAATGGTAGTTGAATTCTTCGACCAAGAATCTTTTGTTCACTAACCATTGGCTAGAACTAGTCACATAGTCCCAGGAGACTAGGAGGTATAGTTTTCCATGTGCCCAGGAATTAGAGGAACTTGGTGAGCATTAGTGATGTCTTCCCCACCTCCAGATCTTTTTCTTTACTCTGTCATGATCTCCCAGGAGAAGAATCTATTATTCTGATTGGTCAGATTCCAGGGCAGAGCATGTTTAGTTAGAGTGAGGATCATAGTGTATTAAAAGGTTACACAGTTGCATTTCACCCTTCTTTTCTGAATCCTATTTCCGCCATCTTGAACACAGTCCCTTTGGTATCCAATCATCTTTCTTCTTCCCGCACTATTACTCATATGCTTGGAAGTTCTTAGTCCTTTAGGATTTACAGCTGGCTACCGGTACATGTGGGATTTAAGAGTGAACTTGAGACCTTGCTTGGGGTCTCATGCTTCAGAGAAGCTAACCAAAAAACTCTCTATTGAAGTATCAGGGATTTGACCATTTAATAATAGAGTAAGCCTTTGATTTACAATTTGCTATTACTATTTATGGGTAGTGCTTTCCTGAGGGCATCCCAGCATATTTAGTAAGGCATAACTCAAGTATTCCTCAGTCTCCTGGTCAACTACCAACATAATCTCACTGTACATACCCATCAAAGCATGTGTTTCTTTAGGAAAGTGAAGAAGTAAAAATAAATTCTATTGTATCTTCTCCTGGTCAATGAAGTAGTTCGTTTATGTTTATTTATTGTGGATAATCAGTAACTTTTAAGGGATTCCAGATAAACTTTTGTTTCACTGTTTATCTCTTCTCTATTGTCCACATATACTGGGTATTCCAAATTCTGAAATTCTCGGTTTGTTAGGCCACTAGTATCAAACATCAACTTCATCATGAACTCTTTGTAGACGAAGTTAGAATTTACTCTCCTTATGTGCCCAAACATTACAAAGTTAATTTCATTCTTCCTGACATTATGGTGGATTGTTACCTTGTCATTCCACCTTGGTTACACATTACTTGAGGACAAGGAACATGTCTTTCTCTTCATTGTATGGCCTGTAATATTGAGTATGGATGGCTTTATGCTAAATAAAGATAATGCACTTATAGACCACTTTGGTGAAAAAGGAGTCTTGGCTCCTTAGTTATCAAATATATTTTCTTCCAGCTCGTTTTTAGCAGAAGATCTTGCCTTGTTCTAAACAGAGTTTGTTGAAGTCATACTTCATGAGGAATGAGACTTCCTCATTTCCTCCCTTTCTCACCCCAAATCTTCCTGTCTTCATTCTTGCATCTCAAGAAGTGTTCCTTTTTATTGCAAAACCTGACAATCTCTCTCGTTCTCTGGATTCCATTCACCATTTTGGGGGTAACTTCTGTTTTATTCTCCTTTTTATCTTAAATTTCTCTTTTCTACAGATGCCTTGTACTTGACTCAGAAACTTGTGAAGGTCTTTCCTGTGCTGCAAGTAGCTTTCCCTTAGTGTTGTTTCTCTCTCAAGTGAGGGCCTCATCTTTTCCCTTGTTTTCACTTCCAAAATTCTTTTTTTTTTTTTTTTTAAGATTTTATTTTTTTTTCCTTTTTCTCCCCAAAGCCCCCGGTGCATAGTTGTATATTCTTAGTTGTGGGTTCTTCTAGTGGTATGTGGGACGCTGCCTCAGCGTGGTCTGATGAGCAGTGCCATGTCCGCACCCAGGATTCGAACTAACGAAACACTGGGCCGCCTGCAGCGCAGCGCGTGAACTTAACCACTCGGCCACGGGGCCAGCCCCTCACTTCCAAAATTCTTGAAGGACTGTTTACACCTGCTGCCTTCCTTTCCTCATTTCCAATTCACTCTTTACTCTTCAAATACAGCTTCTACCTTTGACACTCTACATTTCATTGCAGGTTATTGGTGCCCCACTAACTATAAAACACAATAATGTTTTCTTATACTTTATTCTCTTGAAGAGTTTTGCAGCATTTTATTCTCTTGAGAATCCTCTCTCCATGTTCTTTTTTTTTTGTGTCTGTCTATTGGTTTACAGGAAATCATACCCTCCAGATTATTCTCAATCTCTTCTACTTCTTCTCTGATAATTCCTTCACTAACTCCTCTTAAGGCATATACTTTAGAATGCTGTCTACTTTCTTTTTTATTTGCATACTCTCTGTTGGCAATGTCAACTACTCCATAGGAAGGGAGACCTACTGGTCAGACTAAACCAAGGACAGTGCTAAATGAGGATAGCAGGATACATAATTAAACAATCTACATAGTTCTTCTGGGACCACATAGTGTGTAGAGAATCTTTTTTCTCCCAGTCCATTTTCCATGTACCTAAACTACTGTCAGTGATTTTGCAGGTAAACGATTCTTAAGTGATATAATACAACTTTATGAGAGTGTTCTGCCCAGCACCTAATGATGCAGAACTCCTCTATCCTGATTGGTTATAAATCTGAGGCATTTCCAATCCTGGGGAGGCTAGAAAGGTATGTATATTCTTAATGAGTATTTTTTGACTGAGTTGTGTGAGGACAGATCCCATTCTGAAGAAGCTGGCGATTTCACTTTCTCATTTTCTTTCTTCCAGAATGGGTTCTGGGTGGGTTCCCTGGCTGGTGGCTCTGTTAGTGAATCTAATCAGGCTTGATTCCTCCATGACTCAAGGCAGAGACTCTCCAGGTAAGAACAGAACAATTTTTTTCCAGTGCGTGTGCAATAATTGGCATGGGGGAGGGAGGCTTTTCCTTATAGGTCTAGACTACACAGCAAACTGGAAATAGCTTCTGGCTTCAAAGAGAGTGTTCTTCCCTTTGAGAGAAAAGTATTCCTTCCTTCTTTACTACACACAATGGGCTGCTGGGAAAAGACACTTCCTGTACCATAGCCAAAGAGAAGGGAGGCAGGAAGAAGGGAAACATATCATCTTGTTTAGGGTCCTTGTTGTATCAATGTAACTGTAAAACATGGAGGCAGACTGAGAATAGATGCCATTGTAGAGCCAGAGTTTGCTCTGGTGACTGTGACAGTTTCTATATTTATCCAGTTGGAGTACATATGGATAAAAGAAACTGGGAACAAAGGTTTCTTCTTTTGGCATTTAAGCCCCTACTATATGGTCAGAATTGTACCAAGAAATTTTGAGAAATAAGAGAAATTGACATTATCCATGTCCTCAGGTTACTGGGTACATGTATTTATTGCTATTTTTCTAGCCGAGGAGATAGGCTATGCAAACATGAAGCAGTGAACATGAAAACATACTTATCAGCAGAAAACAGGATATAATGTGTTAAAAACAGAACCTCTTTGAACCTCAAAGTCTCATTAAATACAAAAGAGGAACAAACCTGGGGGGAGGGTAGATGGGAGAAGATTGTTGTTCTTAGAGAATAGAAACCTCCATGAGTTTATAACATCCCTTTAACAACACAAATGGAAAAAAAATCAGCTGAGATCTTAAACCTGACACAGATCTGAATAAAAAGTTATTTTTGTGATATAGTCTGTGAGAAGGGATAGAGAATTGGCGGTTACAGCTGCATCTGAAATCAGCTACTGAGTGAGACATGAGTATGGCTGAGCCAGGAAGGATGCTACCATCTTTATGCTCAGCTCAGTAGTTTGTGGAGGAGACCTCTGAACTTAGAAATGAAAGCAAATTTACAACTCAAGATCAGTGACAATTTTCATTCAAGTCTCAACTTAAATTACATTTCTTCAGGGAGATCTTTCCTGACCAACCTGCATTATTAGCCCATTTTAATTGTTCTTTTATTATTGTTTTTTCTTAAGTGCATAGAATCAAGTTAATCTTACCCAATGAGTTCACAGCACATTGTAATCTTTTGTCAGAACAAGGACTCTCTCATCTCTTCCCTTGTCTCCATTCTCACTCCCTCCCTTCCACAGATACACATTCTAATGTGTCTGGTATGTCTTTAAGTATGAGGATGGCCTTTAAAAATACATAGCATTGTTTTTCTGTGTGTATTTAAAATTTTAATAAACGTCATTGGGCATTGAATCACATTCTGTTTCTTTTCTCACTTAACACTATGCCTTGAGCTTTGAAATACATTGTATGAAAATAAAATATAGCTCAAGCTAATCGCTATCAATATTAGTAAAATACTTTGTGAGTAGAAAATTATAGTGAACAATGGAATTGAAATTTTTTATTCCATTTTCTTAACCTCCAGAGTTTTTTGTTTAGAAGGTCTTAGATGAAGCTAGAATTGGTATTTTATTTATTATTGAGGTTATGATAGTTTACAACATTGTGAAATTTCAGTTGTACATTATTATTTGTCAGTCATCATATAGGTGTGCCCCTTCACCCTTTGTGCCCATCCCTCACCCGTCTTCACCCTGGTAACCACTAAGCAGTTCTCTTTGTCCATGTGTTTGTTTATCTTCCACATATGAGTGAAATCATACGGCGTTTGTCTTTCTCTGTCTGACTTACTTTGCTTAACATAATACCCTTAAGGTCCATTCATGTTGTGGTGAATGGGACAATTTTTTCTTTCTTTATGACTGAGTAGTATTCCATTGCGTGCGTGTGTGTATGTGTATGTGTGTGTGTGTGTGTGTGTGTGTGTATATACCACATCTTTATCAAATCATCAGTCGATGGGCATTTGGGTTGCTTCCACATCTTGGCTATGGTGAATAATGCTGCAATGAACATAGGGGTGCATAAATCTCTTTGAAATTGTTGATTTCATGTTCTTTGGATAAATACCCAATAGTGGGATGGTTGGGTCATATGGTACTTCTATTTTTATGTTTTTGGAGAAATCTCCATAATGTTTTCCGTAGTGGCTGCACCAGTTTTCATTCCCACCAGCAGTGTATGAGGATTCCCTTTTCTCCACACCTTCTCCAACATTTGTTATTTTTTTCTTGGTTATTATAGCCATTCTAATAGGTTTGAGGTGATATCTTAGTGTAGTTTTGATTTGCATTCCCCTGATGATTAATGATGTTGAGCATCTTTTCATGTGCCTATTGGCCATCTGTATATCTTCTTTGGAGAAATGTCTGTTCATATCCTCTGCCCATTTTTTGATCAGATTGTTTGTTTTTATGTTGTTGAGTTGTGTGAGTTCTTTATATATTATGGAGATTAACCCTGTGTTGGATATATGATTTGCAAATATTTTCTGCCAATTGGTGGGTTGTCTTTTCATTTTGATCCTGGTTTCCCTTGCCTCGTAGAAGCTCTTTAGTCTGATGAAATCCCACTTATTTATTTTTTCTTTTGTTTCCCTTGTCTGAGTAGACATGGTGTTTGAAGTGTCAAAGAGTGTACTGCCTATATTTTCTTCTAGAAGTTTTATGGTTTCATGTCATACCTTCAAGTCTTTGATCCATTTTGAGTTTATTTTTGTGTATGGCATAAGATAATGGTCTACTTTCATTCTTTTACATGTGACTGTCCAGTTTTCCCATCATTTATTGAATAGACTTTCCTTTCTCCATTGTATGTTCTTAGCTCCTTTGGTGAAGATTAGCTGTCTGTAGACGTGTGGTTTTATTTCATATCTGTTCCATTGATCTGTGTGCCTGTTTTTGTACCAGTACCATGCTGTTTTGATTACTATAGCTTTGTAGTTTATTTCGAAGTCAGGGATTGTGATGCCTCCAGCTTTATTCTTTTTTCTCAGTATTGCTTTAGCTATTTGGGGTCTTTTGTTGCTCCATATGAATTTTAGGATTCTATGTTCTATTTCCGCAAAGAATGTCATTGGGATTCTGATTGGGATTGCATTGAATCTGTAGATTGCTGTAGGTAGCATGGACATTTTGACTATATTTATTCTTCTGATACATGTGCAAGGAATATCTTTCCATTTCTTTATGTCATCATCAATTTCTTTCAGTAAAATCTTGTAGTTTTCATTGTGTAGGTCTTTCACTTCCTTGGTTAAATTTATCCCAAGATATTTTATTCTTTTTGTTGTGATTGTAAATGGGATTGTGTTCTTGAGTTCTCTTTCTTTTAGTTTGTTAGTAGAGTATAGAAATGCAACTGATTTTTATAAGTTGGTTTTATACCCTGTGACTTTGCTGTAATTGTTGATTATTTCTAACTGTTTTATGATGGACTTTTTTAGGGTTTTCCATATATAAAATCATGTCATCTGCAAACAGCAAGAGTTTCACTTCTTCCTTGTCTATTTGGGTTCTTTTTATTTCTTTTTCTTTCCTAATTGCTCTGGCCAAAACCTCCAGTTGAATAAGAGTGCTGAGAGTAGTTACCCTTGTCTTGTTCCTGTTCTCAGAGGGATAGCTTTCAGTTTTTCCCATTGAGTATAATGTTGGCTGTGGGTTTGTCATATATGGCCTTTATTATGTTGAGGTACTTTCCTTCTATACTCATTTTATTGAGAGTTTTTATCATAAATAGATGGATCTTGTCAAATGATTTTTCTGCATCTATTGAGATGATCATGTGGTTTGTGTTTCTCATTTTATCAATGTGGTGTATGACATTGATTGATTTGTGGATGTTGAACTATCCCATGGTGTCTGATCTTTTTTCTGTGTTGCTGTATTTGGCTTGCCAATATTTTGTTGAGGATTTTTGCATCAGTGATATTGGCCTGTAATTTTCCTTCTTTGTGTTGTCCTTGTCTGGCTTTGGTATCTGGGTGATGTTGGCTTCATAGAATGTGTTAGGAAGTGTTCCGTTTTCCTCAATTTTTTAGAATTGTTTGAGAAGGATAGGTAATAAATCTTCTTAGAATGTTTAGCAGCATTCTCCAGAGAAGCTGTCTGGTCCTGGACTTTTATTTTTTGGGAGGATTTTTTTTAAAGGAAGATTATCCCTGAGCTAACATCTGCTGCCAATCCTCCTCTTTTTGCTGAGGAAGACTGGCCCTGAGCCAACATCCATGCCCATCTTCCTCCACTTTATATGTGGGACACCTGCCACAGCATGACTCGACAAGTGGTACGTAGATCCTCAACCAGGATCCAGATGGGCAAACCCAGGGCCGCCGAAGTGGAATGTGTGAACTTAACTGCTGCGCCACCGGGCTTGGCCCCCTTTTGGGAGGTTTTTGATTACTTTTTCAATTTCTTTACTTGAGATTGCTCAATTCAGATTCTCTATTTCCTCTTGATTCAGTTTTAGGAGGTTGTAAGAGTCTAAGAATTTATCCATTTCTTCTAGATTGTCCAACTCGTTGGCATATAGTTTTTCATAGTACTCTTTTATAATCTTTTGTTTTTCTGTGGTATCCATTGTAATTGCTCCTCATTCACTTCTAATTTTATTTATTTGAGCCTTCTTTCTTTTTTTCTTAGTGAGTCTGGCTAAGGGTTTGTCAATTTTGTTTGTTTTCTCAAAGAACCAGTTCTTGTTTCATTGATCCTTTCTACTGTCTTTTGTTTCAATTTCATTTATTTCTGCTCTAATTTTTATTAATTCCCTCCTTCTATTGACTTTGGGCTTTGTTTGTTCTTCTTTTTCTAATTCTGCTAGGTGTTGTTTGAGATTGCTTATTTGAGATTTTTATTGTTTGTTAAGGCGAGCCTGTATTGAACTGAATTTCCCTCTTAGGACCACTTTTGACACATCCCATATGAGTTGGTATGGTGTGTTTTCATTTTCACTTGTCTACAGATATTTTCTGATTTCTCCTTTAATTTCTTCAATAATCCATTGGTTGTTCAGTAGCATGTTGTTTAGTCTCCACATCTTTGTCCCTTTCCAAGCTTTTTTCTTGTAGTTGATTTCTAGTTTCACAGCATTATGGTTGGAAAAGATGCTTGATATTATCTCAATCTTCTTAAATTTATTGAGGCTTGCCTTGTTTCCCAACATATGGTCTATCTTTGAGAATGTTCCATGTGCACTTGAGAAGACTGTAATCTGCTCTTTTTGGATGGAGTGTTTATATATATCTATTAAGTCCATCTGGTTTAGTTTTTCTTTTAATTCCACAGTTTCCATATTGACTTTCTGTCTGGATGATCTATCCATTGGTGTAAGTGGGGTGTTGAAGTCCCCTACTATTAGTGTGTTGTTGTTAATATCTCCTTTTAGGTTTGTTGATAGTTCCTTTGTGTACTTTGGTGTTCCTGTGTTGAGTGCATAAATATTTATTTATTTTGTCTTCTTGGTGGCGTGTCCCTTTTATCATTATATACTGCCCCTCTTTGTCTCTCTTTATCTGTTTTGTCTTCGAGTCTACTTTGTCTGTTATAAGTATGGCAACACCCTGTTTTCTTTTGTTTACCATTAGCTTGGACTATCACCTTCCATCCCTTCACTCTGAGCCTGTGTTTGTCATTGGAGCTGAGATGTGTTTCCTGGAGGCAGGATGTTGTTGGGTCTTGTTTTTTAATCCATCCTGCTACTCTGTATCTTTTGACTGGAGAATTCGATCCATTTATATTTAAAGTGATTATTGATATATGAGGGCCTAATGCTGCCATTTTATCACTCGTTTTCCCATTCTTCTGCATTTCCTTTGTTTCTTGTCCCTTGTATTTCAGACTATCAATTTGATTAGGTAGCTTTCTATGCTGGTTTTCTTAGTTTTCTCCTTATTTATCATTTGTGTCTCTGTTCTAATTATTTGTTTAGTGGTTACCATGATGGTTGTATAAAAAATCTTGTAGATGAGATAGTACATTTTCTGATAGCTTGTTATTTTTTTAGGCTAAGCCGATTTCATCCCTCACCTCTTTCCCTTCTAAATTGGTATTGTCACATCTTATTCCATCTTGTTTTGTGAGTTTGTGGTTAAAATGACAAGATTATATTTATTTCAGTGTTTTCCTTCCCTTTATCTTTAACGTCATAATTGTTTTCTAACCTGTTCTGACAGAGAGCTGTAATTTTCTGATTTTGTCTATTTATCTCCTTTCTCAGGGTTTTGTAACCCCTTTCTGTTTTTTTTTTTCAGGTATGAGGGCCTTCTTGAAGATTTCTTATAGCGGGTGTATTGTGGCGACGAACTCCCTTAATGTTTGTTGTCTGGGAAAGTTTTTATTTCTCCATCACACCTGAAGGATATTTTCTCTGGATAGAGTATTCTTGACTGAAAGTTTTGTCTTTCAGAATTTTGAATATATCATTCCACCTTCTCCTAGCCTGTAAGGTTTCTGCTGAGAAATCTGCTGAAAGCCTGATGGGGGTTCCTTTGTAAGTTTTTTTCTTCTGCCTTGCTGCCTTTAATATTTTTTCTTTTCATTCACTTTTGCCAACTCTACTACTATACGGCTTGGAGAAGGTCTTCTTACATTGATATAGTTTGGAGATCTATTGGCTTCTGTCACGTGTATTTCCAGCTTCTTCCCCAGGTTTTGGAAGTCCTCAGCTATTATTTCTTTGAACAAGCTTTCTGCTCCATTCTCCTTCTCTTCTCCCTCTGGGTTACCTATAATCCTTATGTTGCATTTCCTAATTGAGTTGGATATTTCGTGGAGAATTTCTTCATTTCTTTTTAGTCTTAGTTCTCGCTCCTCCTCTATCTGAAGGATTTCTATATTTCTGTCCTCCAGACTGCTAATTCTGCCCCCCATAATATCAGAACCTACTGTTCAGGGAGTCCAGATTTTTCTTTATCTCTTCCATTATGCTTTTAATCTCCAACATTTCTGATTGGTTCTTCTTTAGAGTTTCAATCTCTTTTGTGAAGTAGCTCCTGAAATTGTTGAAGTGTCTATCTGCATTCTCTTTTAACTCATTTAGTTTTTAAATGATAACTCTTTTGAATTCTCTGTCATTTAGGTTATAGATTTCTGTGTCTTCAGGATTGATTCCTGGGTACTTGTCATTTTCCTTCTGTTCTGGAGATTTAATATATTTTTTTTCATATTGCTTGACAGCATGGATTTGTGCCTTAGCATAGAGGGAATTTGGTCACAGCTCCCACATGCCACCATCGGGGGAAAGGGGCAGGAGCTGTGTAATCTGAGCCCACCAGGATCCACATCAGCTGTGCCTGTCTGAGCCTGGGCCACTCCTTGGGATTGCAGCAGCCCTGTGGGGTCTCCCATCAACTGGAAGAATAATCACATGGGGGTTATGGGCTGCTTCCACCTAATCCCACAGTCCTGCCCAGACACACTCTGCCCTTTGGGACTGCAGCAGGTCTATGGGTGTTCGTGACAGCCAGCGGCACTTTTGCCTGGGCCACAGATATGCTGCTGTCTGCTCCTAGGTTGCACCAACATTTGTGCTTGGTGGGTGGGACCACTCCACTGGATCTGAGCCAGAGCCACTCCCTGGGTCTGAGGTGGGACTGTGGGCTTTCCTACTGGACCAAAGAGTGATCATCTGGGGACTCAGAGCCTCTGCCTCCTGCTCCCACAGTCTTGCTGAGTTGCACTTCCTCCTTTGGGACTGCAGCAGTACTGTGGGCATAGGAGGCAGCTGGGGCTTGTTTGCCTGGACTTGCAGCTGCACCACTGTCTGCTCCTAGGTCACACCAGCCTTTGTGCTTGGTGGATGGGACATCCCCACTAGGATCGAGCCAGAGCCACTCCCTGGGACTGCAGTGGGACTTTGGGCTTTCCCACTGGACCAAAGAGCGATCATGTGGGGGCTCAGGGCTGCCTCACCTGTTTCCACAGTCTCGCTGAGACACACGCCCATCCTTGGGGCCACAGGTGTGCAAAAGCAGTTGCATGTGGGTACTGGGCTGCTGAGGGGGCAGGAGAATTCTCACCTATCTCCACCACCTCCACAGGGGTGGTCCATCCACCTTCAGATGTATAGCAGCAGGAGTCTCTCAGGCATCCTGAGGTGCTACATGTGTATCCTCCATTGATCAATGAATGTTCATTTAGTTGTAGTTCAAAGGAGGAGAGACAAAGGGAACAGCTTACTCCATCATGTTGCTGATGTCGCTCTCTTTTTATTTCATTTTTAATGGCAACATTTAATATAAAACCTCCAAAAGAAGGTTTAAGTTAAGCTTATATTCCGCATCACCATATTGTTGCAACTCATTTAGTTTTTAAATGATAACTCTTTTGAATTCTCTGTCATTTAGGTTATAGATTTCTGTGTCTTCAGGATTGATTCCTGGGTACTTGTCATTTTCCTTCTGTTCTGGAGATTTAATAGAATTGTAGGTGTTGACCTTAAAAATAAAACAGCCAGTTATTCTATCAGCAAAACAAATTTATTTAGGAATAACCAAAGGATTGAAATCCAGGATGTGCATGCTGTGACAGACCATAGACAAATCTAACAAATGAGGGAGAGGAACATTGTATTATATAGGAAAAGGAGGAAATGGGGGGGAAGGTTTGAAGGAAAGTCCATTGGAGAAAAGCAAGAGTTCAGGATGGTGATGGTTTCTCTCTGGCTGAGTTGCTGGGGTAATCAATTTCTGTTTGGGATGCAATGTAAGTTTCTTCATGTAATTAAGTATTCTTTCCTGTTGAGGACTTCTGTCAGGGTCTGTAATGACTATCTTTGCTGTAACTGACCTTGAGTGGTGCTGTGTGGGAGTTCTCCCTTCTGGCCTCCTGACTTCATTTTAAATGAGGTTTCCCTTTATTAGTTTTCGCATAGGTATAGTGCCAATGATGATAATGATAATGATCATGATAAAAGGCATCTTCAAGCCACAGATTAATATTATTTTACCAAACACTAACAGAATTAATGAGCTCATTACCTCACTAGAACCAATGGAGGGGATGAGATCCCTGAGTAAGACTGCAAGGGAAAAGATCAAAAAGGAGAAAACCCATACTGAGTGGAAGGTAGAAGGGGACTTTATTTCACAACTAATATGTACCTATTCTGCATTTCCTTTACCCATCTCCATCATTCCTTCACTTTACTCCAGAAGGAAAACATAGAATGAACCTACTAAGGGCAAGAGTACTATTGAATTATTCCACATGGGAATGGATCTTTTTGACTTGATAATAAAGAGAGTTAAGACCCTGGGCTTCTGAAAGCTTGGCTTGAAGAAACCCAGAACAAGTTGTCTGGCAAAAGACAAATAATCAGTAATATTTGTCAAAGGAATGAATGGACAAATATTTGTGGAATGAATCTTTATGTCTCTTGGGACTCTCTATGGCTTGTTTCTTTGGGTGACATGTCTCTTGTTGGGCTGGGCTAGTAGATGGGTCTCAGGCTTCTTTCCACTGTGATGTGAGGAACCAGGGGGAGAGGCTACTTTTGCCTATTTCCTGAGGTCAAAAGGCCTCCTCTCAAGTTGATGTGGTCTGGCATAATTTACCAGGTATGGGTTTCCTAAAGATAGTGGCTGGTTCCTGGTGTTCATAGTCTTATTTTGGTTTTCCAGAAGATTTTGTGATTCAGGCTAAGGCTGACTGTTACTTCACCAATGGGACAGAAAAGGTGCAGTTTGTGGTCAGATTCATCTTTAACCTGGAGGAGTATGCACGTTTCGACAGCGATCTGGGAATATTTGTGGCACTGACAGAGCTGGGGAAGCCTGACGCTGAGCGGTGGAACAACCGGCCGGATATACTGGAGAGGAGTAGAGCTTCTGTGGATGCGCTCTGCAGACACAACTACAAGTTGGGTGCACCCTTCACTGTTGGGAGAAAAGGTGAGGTGGAAGATGAGGTCTGCCAGAGTTCAGGAATCTCCTACATGTGAACCTGGCCATGGATCTTCTTCCTTATGATAGGGAATTTCCTGCTTCAGGATAAATGGGTTATGAGCAGGGGAGTCTGTGTCTATGTTCTGTCCCCACTTGTGACTCACTCAATATCCTCACAGGGCAGATCACTGCGGTCTTGGTTTCAGATCTCAAAGGTTCTCAGAGACTTTACAGACTAGTTGGTCCTCAAATAGAAGGAGTAATTGTGGGAGTGTCTGATAAGATCTAAATCCTCTTTAGGGTCACTGACATCCCCAGTTTCTGAGTCTTGGGGGCTGATATTTTCCCAGAATTTCAGTTTCCACTTGGGTGATCTGGGAAAGAGATTAGGGGCTGAGATAGTCCCTAAAGAAATTCCTGTCTTGGCTTGGTGGTTTTTCCTTCACAATGTCTCATTATTCTGTTCATTCCTAGTGCAACCAGAGGTGACAGTGTATCCGGAGACGACCCCATTCTTGCAGCACCACAATCTGCTACTCTGCTCTGTGACAGGTTTCTATCCAGGGGACATCAAGATCAAGTGGTTCCGGAATGGGCTGGAGGAGAGAGCAGGGGTCATGTCCACTGGCCTTATTAGGAATGGAGACTGGACCTTTCAGACAATGGTGATGTTGGAAATGACTCCTGAACTTGGAGATGTCTACACCTGCCTTGTTGACCATCCCAGCCTGCTGAGCCCTGTTTCTGTAGAGTGGAGTGAGAATCAGCTTCTTGTATACCCTGGGACTGACTTAGGGTTATACTGAGTCTATATGAGGCCTGGGTTACTTCAGCAATCATCTTGGTCACAACACTAATTTTTCTTTCCCTTGATCTGAGGGAGTCATAGAAATTGGAGTCCTTGGTCTAAGTTGGGAGAAAACATGGCAGACATCTATCCTTGTATCTTCCAGGAAATAAGGAGGTCTAATCACCTCTTCACTTCCTTCCAACTTTGGGAACTAGTGTCCTCTAATACTTTGACCTTAGTATTCAGAGGACATTCCCATGGGCTATGAGAATCAGCAACAGAAACTGCATGGGTGCAAACCTTGGCCTCAACAAACCATTTCTAAACTTATTCCTTCTCTAGATAGCATTGAATTTGGTGTCCAGTCCAGGCTCTGGGATTTCAGGAAGGCACATAAAATATTGGGAGCTTTTGACTAACTTGAAGACCTGTTTCCCATAGGAGCTCAGTCTGAATATTCTTGGAGGAAGATGCTGAGTGGAGTTGCAGCCTTCTTGCTTGGGCTAATCTTCCTCCTGGTGGGGATCTTCATCCACCTCAGGGCTCGGAAAGGTAATGAGCCTCTGAGAAGTCCCCTGCCACCTGCCTCATGGCTTCCCCCACTTCCTACTTTTCCTAACATCTAAAATGTAGAAGGCTGGGCTACCAGGGAAGATGTGGAAGGCTGTGCTATCAGGGAAGGCTGATTGTACTTTTCAGGGATACGTGGAATAGTCTTTTCTGAAGCCAAAAACATTCTAGGGGGTAAGCGGAGATGGAGCTCTGATACTGCAGGTCATCCCCCATCCCTCAGGATAATGACAACATTTGGTCCTATTGGGGCATTCTATTTCTTTACTCTCCCTCATTCCAGGATATGTGGAAACTCAGTCGTTTGGTGAGGGGGTAACGTCTTCCTCCTTGTGTTTGGGTGGCAGATCATTCTCTCAATCCGATGGCCAGAGGGAGATGTCTTGGGGATAAGACGTAAGCGTGACTCTGGATGAGTGGCACTGTCTGCTGAGTCCCTGAATGGGAGGATGGTGGTCCCTTACGAGACTTTTATCACTGTCCCTGCAGGTCTCCCACCACAGACATACTAAGGTCCTAACTGAAGCTTCTGCGCCTGGAGCCTGAAGTAGTACCAAGTGGCGTAGGCCCCAGACTAAGTAAAGGACATTCATGAAGTCAATGTTGTGGAGTGACTCTTTTTCCAGGAGGCCTCAGAGGAGTCCTGAACTTATTCTAGAGTTTGTGTTCTGAGATCATGCATCTGTCACCCTATGCCCTTGTTCCTTCTACTTGTCTGTGTCATTAGTCCCCATTTGCAAGAACAGTGTCTAGAAATTCCACAAAGACCTGACTCCTTTCAGCCCTGAACAGTTTACTTTTCTATGGTCCAGCCAGCATCGTAAGTATTTATTCTGTCTCTCTCTCTTCCATCTGTAGTTTCCACAGTCTTCAGAAGACAAATGCTCAGATAGTCACTGTTTCCTTTTCATCATTTTTGAAAACCTTTTTCATTGCAAAATAAAACTGAGATACACTTCATGTTCTTGGTTCCTTTGTTGAATATTAGCAGTCCATAGATGTGTGGGTTTATGTCTGGGCTTTCAATTCTGTTCCATTGATCTGTGTGACTGTTTTTCTGCCAGTAGCATTCTGTTTTGACTACTATAGCTTTGTTGTATCTTTCAAATTCATGGAGTGTTGTACCTTCAGCTTTGTTCTTTTTTCTCAAGATTCCTTTGGCTATTTGTGTTCCACATAAATTTTAGGATTCTTTGTTCTATTTCCATGAAAAGTGTCATTGGGATTCTGATTGTGACTGCATTGGAGAAAGGAAAATCTCTTCAATAAATCGTATTGGGAAAACTGGACAGCCACTTGGAAAAGATGAAAGACAGCCATTATCTTACACCTTACAGAAAAATAACTCAAATGGATTAAAGACTTGGGTGTAAGACCTGAAACCATAAAATTCCTAGAGGAAAACATATACAGTATGCTCTTTGACATCTGTCTTAGCAGCGTCTTTTCAAATATGATGTCTTCTCAGGCAAAGGAAACAAAAGCAAAAATAAACAAATGGGACTACATCAAACTAAAAAGCTTCTGCACAGCAAAGGTAACCATCAAGGCAATGAAAAGACAATCCACCAACTAGGGGAAAATATTTCCAAATCATAGATCTGATAAGGGGTTAATTTCCAAAATATACAAAGAACTCATACAGCTCAATAACAAAAAATCTACCCAATTAAAAAATGGGCAGAAATTTTTCCAAAGAAGATATACAGGTGGCCAACAGGACATGCACATTTGTTCAAGATAACTAATTATTAGGGCAATGCAAATCAAAACTACAATGAAATATCACCCCAAGCCCATCAGAATGGCTATTATTAAGAAGACAAGAAATAACAAATGTTGGAAAGGATGTTGAGAAAAGGGAACACTTGTACACTGCTGGTGGGAATGTAAATTGGTGCAGGCACTATGGAAAACAGTATGGAGATTTCCCAAAAATTAAAAATAGAAATACCATATGATCCAGCGATTCCACTTCTGGGTTTTTATCCAAAAAACATGAAACACTAATCTGAAATGATATATGCACCTCTATGTTCTTTGCAGCATTATTCATAATAGTCATGACTTGAGGACAACCTAATTGCTCATTGACAGATGAGTGGATAAAGATGACGTGATATCTATCTATCTATCTATCTATCTATCTATCTATCTATATAATGGAATACTACTCAGCCGTATAAAAGAGAAAAGCATGCCATTTGTGACAACATGGATGGATCTTGACGGTATTATGCTAAGTGAAATAAGTGAGACAGAGATAGACAAATATCATATGATTTCACTCATATGTGGAATATAAGCCAACAAACAAACAAACACATAGATAAGGAGAACAGATTGGTGTTTACCAGAGGGGAAGGGGATATGGGAAGGGTGAATGGGGTAAAGGAACACATGTATGGTGACGGATGGACATGAGACTTTTGGTGGTGAACATGACGCAGTCTATACAGAAACTGAAATATACTGATGTACACTTGACATTTACACAATGTTATAAACCAACGTGACCTCAATAAAATAATAGAAAGCAAATAATAGAAGCAAAAAAAAATTCACCCTTAACCTACCCCCCCCAAAAACCCCTCAGATACCAATAACCACACAAAATGTATAATTTAATGAATTATTTAAGGCAAAACTCCTGTAATCACCACTCGGGTACAGAAATAGAACTTTGCGGCCACTGCGAAGTCTCCATGTGCCTCAGGCTAATCCAAACCTCCTCTCAAAAGTAATCATGTTCTAACTTTCATAGTAACCACTTTTTTGTATTTCTTCATAGTCTAGTCACTCAAGTGTGAAGTCCTGGACACTAGAACTTAGTTGTCTTTTATGTCTCTTGTACTTTACAGGTTTCTTCTCTACCCCTTTATTTTCCTTATGATTAATATGTTGAAAAGCCTGAGCCATGTAACCTGCAGAGTTTTCCACAGTCTGGATTTTGGTGATTGCACACACAGTGCAGGCTAACATGTGCCTCTGTGCTCTGCCTTTCCTGAAAATTGGCTTCTGGATGCATCCACTTCCTCACATCTCTCTGCCCCCTTGATCACCCTGACCCTACTTTAGTTTTGGCTCTATCATGTCTGGCCTATGTTACTCTAATATCATTTAACACTTTCTCTGTGTCCCTCTAACCCATCCTTTCCACCAGAGTATTCTCTCTAAAATGTGAAACTGCTCATGGTACTTTCATTATTATCAACCTGTGTAATGGCCTTCTGTCTGCAGAATAACATCCTAAGTCCTTAGTCTGATGTATGAGACCTCTATTCCTAACCCTTTAGCATCATGTGTCCCCCTCCTGCTTTACCAATCCCAAACTACTTTCACCTCCCTCAAAACCCATGTCTTTCCCTGTCTCCACGCCTCTCGAGCATCATTAGACTTGGAAGCCATTCTCCATGTCCTTCAGCACAAGTGTCTTTTCCACTAGAAAGTTTCCTAGTCTTTGTGACTCCAGAGTATTTTAGGCTTTCCTCTGCCGAGCACCCCTGTCTGTGTATTTTCTAGATGGTAAGCAGGGCTCTACAGCTTATTTATTTATTTTTATCTCTCCAGAGCTCGGCTGACTGTCCGTCACACAAGTGCTTAGTAATGAATGACTATACTTCATTGCTCCTGCCTTGTTTGTTACCAACTTCCACCAATAAAAACAATCTCTCCAGTTCTTTTCCCTGTTGCCACATGACATCCTCAGGGAAATAAAGTTTATTAAGTTTCTGAACCTCTTCTACCTGGGACAAGGCTTTACCATTTCAGATCTTGTCCCCCATCCTCCTCCATACCTGCTCTGATTGCAGATTTTAATTTTTGTGGCTCTCAAGGTCATGGAGTCTCCATGTTTGTTATGTTCTGATTTATCTTTATCATGCCAATCCTACTTGTCTCTACCATTCTTTAAGTGTTTTGTCCTCAATTTGAAGACCCAACTTTTGATGGATTGTCAGTGCAAGGGTTTCCTGGTTCCCCCTCCTTGTCCAAAATCGATCATTTTTTCAGCTTTTCAGTTTTGATTGATCGTGCCTTTGTGACTTCTAAGAGAGGAAGATTCTAAGGAGTGTCCCTGACAGCAAAGATTTCACCCAGAACTTGGCCTGAATCTGCCCTTCTGCCATCTTGCTCCATCGGGAAGGCTTTTTTGCTTTCATCATTGTCCCAGGAAGGTGTGGTGACCTCTTAGAGTTGGGCTCCAGAATGTGCTGTGGGAGGGGGAGGGTAAGGTGGGAGAAGCAGTCACAAGTCGGTGGTTGGATTTTTGGGGCAGAAAGATCTCCTTATCTATAGCATCCTCAATAAACCAGGGATGAGCGGAAAGAAGCCTAGGGTTTCATGTCAAAGTGAGGAATACTATGAAGGTGCTATATTAACCTTCAAATAAAATTCCAGTTGGAAAAAGTTCAGAAATTTAACAATCTTAAACTTGAGTCCGATTTAGTTACGGAAAGATCAGGGTCATCGCTCAGGGGATGCGATGTGCCCTTCGACCACCAGATGGCGGTCGAGACTAAAATGTAAGTTGATTTTCTCAACTAACTCTGCGGTGGGAATCCCCGTGGAAAAGTGGACGTTTTCTAAGGGGCTTTCCCCACGTAGCCTTCCCATCTCCTTCTTGTCTCACATTACCTCAATCTGCCAGTGTTTGAAAGGAGCGATGGGCGTTAAAAAAAATCGAAGGAAGGGAGAAGAGGTGGTGGGAAGGTTTCTGAGCAACAGGGAAGCCCTCCTGCTTGTGTCCATCACTGCCCGTCTCCTTTCCCTCAACCCCCTCTCTCCTTAGGCTGCTGTGCTTAATTACCCCACTCGCCCCCTGATCGCTGAAGTCTCCAGCTGTAGCAGTAGGGACCTGGGTCAAAGACAAACTGAATTTAATATTCTATAAAATGGTCTCACAGATACCAAACAAAATCTGTTTAATTAGAACTTGAGTTATAAGAAGCAAGTCCGTTTGGCAAGTTGGCTATTCCGTGACCTCAGGGCACTGGCCAGCTTCCCAATGACCCTGAGATGTCCCCAGGGACCTAATCACAGGGTCCAAGGCTGAGAAAGGACAATGGAGATAGTTCAACCCACGCGTTTGCTGCGTATAGTGTAGCCCTCCGAGAACTGAGCTCCAGGAGGGCTGCTTTTCCCCCTGATGTTTGGGTGCCTTGAGCAGCGCCACTCATTAAATATTTGTTCAATGAAAAGATGAAGTGGAAAAATCCACATTATACTGGTCTAAAGAACTTATCTAGGGTCATACAGCCTGTGAATGGCAAGGCCAGTTCTAGAACTTGGGTTTTTTGACTTTTAGTTTGGTTCTTCTTTCAATAATTTGTATGACACCACAATATTTACATTTTGAGGCATTTGGTCCTGGTTACTGAGCAAAAGTTTTCATCCCTTCTTAAAGTAATATAGTACCAGACAACTGGAGAGATTTTCTTTCTGTTGAAACTATCTAAATGATATACGTTGTTCTTTAATCTTGACCATGTTCATTAGAGTCCTCTCTTTCCTTTCCTATCTCCCTCCTCAGATGAATAGTTCTGTTAGCATTTACACCTTATCTGAATATTTACATATATATGCACACGTGTATATACATATACATACATATGCATAGATAGATAGATAGATAGGTACACTCATACACACTAACTATATGGTGTTTCTTGAGAGACATTAAAATTCTTGTCCTTATTTACCCTAGACTATGTTACGTGCATTCTTCATGTGAATAACAATTTAGCTGTACACTACTTTCTGCAACTCTTTGATTTAGAGTTTGTATTTTTCTTAAATTAGTGGCTTATATTTGAAACCACCATGTGTTTGTTTGTTACCTGACCACAATGTCTTGCGCAGAGCAGCCACACAGGTCTCCAGTCTAACTCACCGCCATGCAATGAGCAGAACAGCTAAAAGCCGCCTGGGTGCTCACTACGATTGCCTGAGTGGTTGGCCCA